AGGCCCATCCTTTCCTGAGACTGACCACTTGCTGGATGTATTTTGTCTATCATAAAACTCATCAATGAGAATCCCTCATTCCCAGTAAGAGTGTGGCTGTCTGCTTTCTTGCAAATAAATTTAATTCCCAAAAACGTGACGTAAACACAGTGATACCACTGTCTTACAGAAACATGGTTCAGGGACGACAACAGAGGAAAACAATATGTAGCTTGAGGAAGCTGGGAAAGATGTGGAGTTATCACTTCCAACTGCCTATAGCCTATTAGTTCACCAGTCTAGTCATCCATCTAGCAACTCTGTCCAAGTTTGTACACTGGGAATAAGAATGAATGAACTACAGGGATCGTAAGTGATCAGCATGACCACAGCAGATGTGTCATTTCATCATCATCCAAAACCTAAGAATATGAACATCTCAAATCTCCCTTTCTTACATCTTGAGGGGATCCACTTTCATAAATGAAAATACTCTGTACATGACAGGGGCAAAAGAAGGGGGAAAAAATGCAGCATATATAATTTTCCTCTCTCAGGAGAGGAATGTTAAAGAATCACACAACATAGAAACCCATTAAATTAATGTGCACCTACCAGAGCTAATTACAGGCACACAGTTTGAAACTGTGAAGCCTCTTTCTTAAGGCAGCACTACAATGACTTATTTCTCTGCTGATTGTTTTTGTCAGGTTGATTTTTGTCAAGAAACAAAACCTCTACTTAAAAATAAGCAAAATCAGACTCGGAAAAGAGTAAACATATTTCATATTGCACTTGGAAAAGCATACAGATTTTCATAAACTTCTGATGTCAAAACATATCCACTCAAGCTTTCTTAGCAGTGAAACAAAAAAAAACTAGCAGAACTTTGTATCAGCTTCCCAAAGCCTATCTGCTCAGCTGGCAGTGGCCATCCAGGCACCCTCAACTACAAGCAAGGGAGAAAAAGGAACTGCACAGCATCCCACAGGCTCCAGGATTTGGCACATCAAAAGGCCAAGACAGGAATGATCCAGCTATTCAGGTAAAACAAATACTCTCAGGTGTAAGCAAAACGCTGCAGCACCTGCATCTCTGCTGATAGACCAGTATTTCTGTTCAACACTTTTCTAGGCTAACTTCTGCCCTATTTTCATCTGTGAAGAGGAAGAGACTTCTCAGCCAAATGACATAATTAAATAATCTATTCTATGGTGAAATGTCAGTTTGAAAAACGAAATACACATATTCTCAGATAGATTTATTTCACAGTGAGAAGGGTGAACTTTCAGTCTGTCCACAGCCCAGTGTCAGCAAAGGTCCTCTGGAAATAACGGGAGTTGTGTGTGTCAGTGCTACACAGTTTTGCAGTTTTCAGTTCTCCACGGTTATGTCAATCTTCTTTACTACGTTTGATATAAGCAGTAAAACAATGGAAGTGTTTAAAAGATTTACTTATGATTTTAACTTGTTATCTGAATCATACAGGAATTTCTTGGAAATGACAACTAGATGCCAAAGGATAAAAGGGTTCTCTAGTGGAAGTTTCCATCTCCCACTACAGTTTAATGAAGATCCCAGTAGCAAATCCTAAGATTTTAACTGAAGGCAAAGAGACTTATTTTTATACATCACATAGGCTCCACTTTATGAGCTGCCAGTTTGCATATAGGCAACAAAAAGCCCTTTGGCTAAATACAGACATTGGAATAAACTGTCAGTTAACAGTAATTTCATCCAGCAAGTGTTTATGCCCATACATCCTAATGAAGAAAGATTATTTTAGGATTAGAGCACTGAAAAGGAAGAAAAAAATTAGAAAAGGAGAAAAGAAAAAGAACGACAAAGAAATTACAATATTGCACAGAACCAAAACATCCAATTATGCTTTGATCCTAGTTTGAATTTTAAATGTTACTGTCATCATTATTTTCTATCACACAACTTCTTTCAGTGATTACTGGATATCTATATGTCAAATGTACAGAAAAACAAAGCATGTTATAGGTAGAAGTAGTAGCTTATCTTGCAGACGTAACAAAACCCATCTCTCAAACATTATTGAGAAACCTGTCAACAAAGCAAATCAAGCACCAAGTGGAAATGAGACATAATGCTTAATTCCCTCAATCAGCATTTTCTTGCTTGCTAGGAACACCTCACTTGGGTGGGCTGACAGGGTGCAAGCTAATTTACAGATTCAGGGGGAGTCAACTGCATCCAGATAGCACTGCTCCCACGTTAATTAAGAGGAGACTGAAAAGTAAAGTTCACTCAGAAATGGTAGTGAGGGAAAAAAATAACTCAAGAGAATGCTGACTGTTATGAAGAGCAAACAACAAAGCAATCATCAGATCTTTGTATCAGTTAAATTACTGTTGTTTCCAGATTAAAGATTTCAGAGGTGTTATATCAAGCATACAGAAACGGTTACTTGTCTGGGCCATGGAGCTGCCCAAGCTTTCTAGATTGCTGCAAACATTTTCTGACTGAACTCACAAGATTGCATTCAAGGTGCCCACTAAGCAACTACTTAGAGCCAATAGAATTTATCGTGTATAATGTGCCTCAATTTTACCTGTCATTTCTGCTGTATAAAAATGGCAGAGTGCAGAAAAGAACCAGTCAACATTTTATATCTCCTACCTTCCACAGTCTCACAGAGCGGGGTGCAATGTTCCACTCCATGAACTACCCTCATAATACGATTCACAGTCACAGAACAATTCTCAAGAACCTATGCAGTTACAGCACAGGTTCAACTAATGTTTTACAGGATAAAGAAAGTAATGGAATGAAAGTTAACTTAAGTTCCCTTTACATGTTTTCAGAGCAGAATCATTAATAAATCTTTAAAACAATAGTGATACCTCATCCTTAAAATTAAATAATGAACAAATTAATATACCAAACAAACACTGCCTTTATATTGGTTGTTTCTTCAAAATATATTTATTCAGTCTAGCTAGCTGAAAGAAAGACTGACTTTCTTGCTCTCTCTCCCCTTCCTGCAAAAGATCAAAGGTGTTTGTCATGCTTCCCCATTTACCCACAACAGCAGGGTGTCCCTCAGCAGTCTGCTCCTTTCAGATCACTTATACTTGCTGAAGAGATGACTCCTTTAAAAAGAACTCAGTGTTTGGTAAAAATCAGCCTTTCACTGACCCATTCTCTATGGGTTCTCAGAGTACACAACCTTATTTAGATCCTGTTTTCCTTTAGAGGAGCATGCTGTTTTTCAATCTCAAACTGATTCATCTCTTTCATATCATGTCTCCATGATACCAACAGTCTTTATAGTAAAGCAAAGAAAAGCATTCATTTATTAACACAGAAGCTTTGGGCACAGTATTTAGGAAGGAAAAAAAACAACCCCAAACCCAAAATGGTTTAACTTATCAAAGAATATGTGCACGACTTAGACATCACCAAAGATTCTCTCCAAAACCAAGTAGTTTCTGACTTAAAACCATCTTTGCCTTTGCCTTTCCTTTGGCCTGCCAGCCATCTCCTTCTCTCCCGTTCTCAGCTGCTTCCTTGTGTGGTGTCCTATGTGACACCACACATAGGCTCAAAAATTGAGAGATGGGCCTATAAACACCATGTATGTACTTGCATAGTAAAATATGGCTTCAGCAAACATTCCCAGTATCCCCATATCACCATTGGTGAAACAACACTCAAATCAGTCCAACAGTTTAATTATCTGGGAAGCATCATCTCCTCAGACGGTAAGATTGATGCTGAAATTGACAACAGGTTAGCAAAGGCATACAGTGCCTTTGGTAAACTCCGTAAAAGAGTGTGGCAAAACAAACACCTGAAGAAAAGTACTAAGATCAGTGTTTACAGAGCCATCGTGCTGTCTACTCTTCTATATGGTTCTGAATCATGGGTCATTTACCGGCACCACTTGCGTCTCTTAGAACGCTTCCATCAGCGCTGCCTCCGTACAATCCTTAACATCCACTGGACTGACTATGTGACCAACACGTCTGTCCTTGAACAGGCAGCAGTCCCAAGCATTGAGGCCATGCTGCTGAG